GTTGTTGTTGTTGTTGCTGTCGTTGTTTTTCTTGAAAAACTGCCACATAGCCAAGAAAAACAAATAGCCTGCTGGAGAGAGGTCCTACAAAGACTGAAAAAACCCGTAGGGGATGGAAGGAAAAAAAGAGAGACAGAATAGTCCAGCCAGTTTCCAACCATTCCAGCCATCCAAACTCAGGTGTCGGACATGTGAGGGAAGCCATCTTGGGTTCTCCAGCTTCAAATAAGACCTCAGCCAATAAGACATAGAGCAAAGATGAGCAGCCTCTGCTGAGTCCTGAAAAAACTGAAAATCATGAGCAAATAAATATTTAACTAATTACTGGTTTTAGGCACTATATTCTAAGAAAGTTTGCTATGCAGCAATAAATAATTGAAACAAAACTCTTTACAGATTTTCATCTGAAGACAATTATTTTTCGTCCTGCTCATACCTTTCCCTCTTTTTTTTCCTTCCCTCCTACCTTTCTTCTTTCCTTTTCTTACTTCTTTCTTCCCTGTACCTCAGTGCTAGCTGCTATCTCAGGGGCTATAAAAATACAGATGGTAAAATGTGGTTTCTACTCAAACTGACTTTATGAAACAACAATGAAAAACATGCTTGCAAGTGTATAACTACAATAGAACAATAACAAGAATAAGAACACTAAGCTACACTACAGGAACATTAAGTAGTTTCCTGTATGTAATTTTATTATCTGCTGCTCTCCATGGTGTTGGAAAAACTTGTTTGAAAGAATTACCAAAAGAAGGATTTTGATGAGGAGGGGAAAAGTTAATGCTTAAGTACATTTATATTTTTCTCATCCACTTCTGTGCCAGATAAACCTGGAGAGAACTATTCTCCCAGACACAGTGATTCTAAGTTAATATCTAGACATAAGAGGAGAGAGACCATTGTTTAATTATTTAAAAGATATAATAAAAGATGACAGAGTTTGAGCAACTTAGTGAGTAATCTCCTTGGATAGAATGTCCTCCTCTTTTGCAAACTGTGCACCATTCCTATTTTCTAGCATTCATTTTTAGAAATCATAAATATTTATTAGCCTTTTGAAAAATTAAGTATAGGAAAACATAGAAGTAGCTTGCAAATAGAAAAGAAAAAAATGGGATAAGAATAACAAGGCTTCCGGAAATTGTTCCTGCTATTTCTGATGGTGTAAATAAGTGGCGTGAAGACCTTAGACAATTCTTCTTAGAGAAAACACTTACAGAAACTGGGCAAAAGTGTTAAAACAAATATTTGAAGGTAATGGAAAGTGACCCAAGAAAAAGTGAGAGGCAAATAAGAGGAGATTATTATGAAGAGAATGCTATTGCTTCTGTAAGAACTGTGGGTTTACTGTTTTTTTCTCATGACAGTCACAGGGACCCACCATCACCACTCTCTAACTCCCCCTGTGAAAAATTGGATCACGGGGAAGATAGCAGGATTTAGAGCAGTAGGATGGCTGGAAACTTAAAGAAAGGATTTTGAAAATGAGGGAGCTGTAGAAGGGAGGAAATCTAAAATATGAATAATGTATTTGGCTAAAAAGCTAGCATATGCATGTATTCTGTTTCAACTCCAACTGGGTCTGTCACAATTCAATTATGGTACTAATCACTTGAAGTTAGTGCCAACCTCACAAGTTAAAGCAAGTAGTTCTCAACCAAGCTACCCTGTTTCAAATTCCAGTCACTCATCAAGGGTTCCTAAGCCAACTGCATTTCTAACTGAAAAACTATACCTTTGTAGGTTCTTATGACTCTCTCAGGTTTAATTTACTAGAATGACATAGAACTCAGAAAAACTGTTCTACTTACAATTACAGTTTTGTTATAAAGTGCACAATCACAAGAACCAAGCAAGTGAAGAGATTCATAGAATGAGATCTGGGAGGAAATGCAGAACTTCCATTCTCTCTTCTTGTAGAATCACTCTCTCAGCACATGAATGTGTTTACCAACCAGGAAGTTCCATTGAGACTTTGTGTCTCAAATTTTATTGGGTTTTTATTATTTAGGCATGATTAATTATATTATTGGCTATGTGACTGAACTCAATCTCTATCCCCTTTCCGCTCCCCAGAGATGAAAAAGGGTCAAAAACCAGCCCTATCGCCACATGGTTGCTCCTTGCAGTGGTCAGCCCCCATCATGCAGCTATTTATGGATACATCGTTAGTCACCTCACTAACTTAAAAAATAAACTCTTATCACTCAGAAAATTGCAAGGATATAGAATACCCCTGCCCAGAATTTCAGACAAAGATCTAACAAGTTTATTATTATAAAACAGCCTGGGACATACAAGTAAATCCAGAAAAAAAAAAGTCAGAAACTGGAGAGAAGGTTCAACTTGAAGAACCTGACTGTAGATAGTGAGGTTTTTGAGTTACCGTACCTTTTGAGTATCTGTGATCTGTAAACCACATAAAACTTAAGCAGCAAAAAGAGGAAATAAGGCAGTTTTAAATCAATGATCTAAGTATTGTCAAACTTAAATAATGAAATCTATAAAATATGACAAAGTATAGAGTTTATTCAAGCCCAAAGCTTAAAGATAGCCACTCAGCAGCATATATTCAAGTTTCCGTGAATATATACTCTGACTAGCAGCAGTTATAAGTGCATTTTAAGGAAAAAGGAGAGGCAGTTCCTAAGTTGTTTACCAAGAATTTTCATTAAAATAACATAAACTTTTTTTTTTTTTTTTAGATGGAGTCTCCCTTTGTTTCCCAGGTTGGAGTGCAGTGTTGGGATCTCAGCTAGCTGCAACCTCCACCTCCTGGGTTCAAGCAATACTCCTGGAACTAACATAAGCTATCAATTGGCTATACATTGTTCTTTGTGCCACAAATTCTAGAATTATGAAGATAATGCGTGAGGCAGCTAGTCAAGTAAAAAGATATTTTTAAGGATTTGCTTCCTAGGCATGAGAGCAGAAGGTTTGACTAAAGTTCCATACTCTTGTGTCTTTGGGCCTGATAAATTTTGCATACCTCAGATAGTTCAGATTATTCTGACACTCTGACATATTTTTTGTGTGTGTGATTACTTTTTTTTTTTTTTTTTTTTTTTTTAGAGGTTTTGCTTTGCCCGGTTTGTGTGCAATTGTACAATCACAGCTCACTGCAACCTCCGCCTTCCTGGGTTCCAGCAATTCTCCTGCCTCAGCCTCCTGAGAAGCTGGGATTACAGGCATAAGCCACCACTAAATGATATTTTTCTTTTTTACTTTCTTCTTTTTTTTATCAGGATCTTTCAAAGAGAGCATACTGGATGAACTCAAATGATTTGGGCTCCTTTTATATTTAGGAACTTAGTTTTGTGTCATTAGGAAGGCTAATTTCTGAATGGTCCTGTTTCAAGATGAGGGAGTAGGAGAGGCAGAATATATCTCAGTTAGAAATTTTAAGAGCATCAATATTTGAATTGGGATGGTGTAACAGTGTGGCAAAATTGAGACCTCAGAAAAATTACTAATTTATACGGCTGCTTTCACTTGTTGAATTATCTCTAGTCTTTGGAATACCAGGAGTTTAGTTTTCTTGGATGAAGTAAAAAGCAAGAGGTACATGGTAGAAATATAATACACAGAAAAATTCTAATCAAAAAAAGAATTTGTATGACAGAAAGAAAAAAAGCTTCCATTTGGCAGTCAACTAAAAACATCATTAAAAAATTAAAACCTAGTCCTATAGAGATGTATTGTAGCCAGGAAATAATTTACGATTTAGTTCCAATTATAAGAAAATAATAAAAACTCAAAAACAATGGTAAGGGCTGGGATCTAATAAAAGATATACAGCAGTTTTCTGCTGAAACACAATTTTTCTCTCTTTAGCTCCCATCTCTATTAAAGATACATTTTGATAGGACCAATTTACTTAGATAAGTTTTGGTATTATACTTGACATGATTTTTTTTTTTTTTAATTTTACTTTAAGTTCTGGGGTACATGCAGATCTTGCAGGATTGTTACACAGGTATACACATGTCATGGTGGTTTGCTGCCTCCAACCACCGTCACCTACATTAGGTATTTCTCCTAATGTTATTCCTCCCCAATCTCCCCATCCCCTGCTATCCCTCCCCTAGCTCTCCCACCCTGCAACAGGCCCCAGTGTGTGATATTCCCCTACCTGTGTCCATGTGTTCTTATTCTTCAACACTCATTTATGAGTTAGAACACACAGTGTTTGGTTTTCTGTTTTTGTGTCAGCTTGCTGAGAATGATGGTTTCCAGATTCATCCATGTCTCTGCAAAGGATATGAACTCATCCTTTTTTATGGCTGCATAGTATTCCATGGTGTACATGTGCCACATTTTCTTTATCCAGTCTACTTGATGGGAATTTGGGTTGGTTCCAAGTCTTTGCTATTGTAAACAGTGCCACAATGGACATACATGTGTATTTGTCTTTATAATAGAACAATTTATAATCCTTTGGGTATATACCCAGTAATGGGATTGCTGGGTCAAATGGTATTCCTATTTCTAGATCCTTGAGGACTGTCTTCCACAGTGGTTGCACTAGTTTACACTCCCACCAACAGTGTAAAAGTGTTCCTATTTTTCTACATCCTCTCCAGCATGTGTTGTCTCCAGATTTTTTGATGATCGCCATTCTAACTGGCATGAGATGGTATCTCAATGTGGTTTTGATTTGCAATTCTCTAATTACTGGTGATGATGAGCATTTTTTCATCTGCTTGTTGGCTGCATAATGTCTTCTTTTGAAAATTGTCTGTTCATATTCTTCACCCACTTGTTGATGATGCTGTTTTTTTTTTCTTGTAGATTTGTTTTAGTTCTTTGTAGATTCTGGATATTAGCCCTTTGTCAGATGGGTAGATTACAAAAATTTTTTCCTATTCTGTTGGTTGCTGGTTCACTCTAATGATTGTCTCTTTGCTGTGCAGAAGTTGTTAAGTTTAATTAGATCCCATTTGTCTATTTTGACTTTGGTTGCCATTGCTTTTGGTATTTTAGTCATGAAGTCCTTGCCTAAAAATATGGAACTCTTCATGAATCTGTATGATATCCTTACACAGGGGCCATGCTAATCTTCTCTGTATCATTCAATTTTAGTATATGTGCTGCTGAAACAATCACATGTTGGCCAGGATGGTCTCAAACTCCTGACCTCAGGTGATCCACCTGCCCAGGTCTCCCAAAGAGCTAGGATTACAGGCATGAGCCACCGCCCCCAGATTATATATGCTCTTTGAAGAATTGTCCATTCATATCCTAATCTGACTTTTTGATAAGATTGTTTGTTTTTTTCTTACTGATTAGTTTTAGTTTGTTGTAGATTCTGGGTATTGGTTCTTTTTCAGATGTACAAGTTGTGAAGATTTTCTCTCACTCTGTGTGTTGTCTGATTACTATGCTGACGTTCCTTTTGCCATGCAAAAGCTCTTTAGTTTAATTAGGTCCCAGCTACTGCACTTGTTTAGGAGTTTTTGGTCATAAATCTTTGCCTACGTCAATGTGTAGAAGGGGTTTTAGATGTTATCTTCTTGAATTTTTATAGTTTCAGGAGCTGATTTTTGTATAAGGTGAGAAACGAGGGCTGAATTTTAATCTCCTGCATGCAACTAGCCAATTATCCCAGTACTATTTGTTGAAAATTGTATCCTTTCCCCACTTTATGATTTTGTTTGTTTTTCCTAAGATCAGTTAGCTCTAAGTATTTGGGGATTTTTGTGTTATTTATTCTGTTCCATTGGTTTATGTGCCTATTTCATACCAGTACCATGCTATTTTAGTGACTATGTCCTTATAGTAGAGTTTGAAATCAGGTAGTGTGATGCCTCCAGATTTGCTCTTTTTGCTTTGGCTATGTGGGCTCTTTTTTTGTTCCATATGAATTTTAGAATTTTTTTTCCTAACTTTGTGAAGAATGATTGTGGCTTTTTGATGGGGATTGCATTGAATTTCTACATTGCTTTTAGCAAGTATGGTCATTTTCACAATACTGATTCTACCCATTCATGAGCATGGGATGTGTTTCCATTTGTTTGTGTCATCTATGATTTCTTTCAACAGTTTTGTATTTTTTCTTGTAGAGGTCTTTTGCCTCCTTTGTTAAGTATATTCCTAAGAAATAGGAACAAACCAAACCCAAACCCAGCAGAAGAAAGGAAATAACCAAGATCAGAGCAGAACTAAATGAAATTGAAAAAAAAAAGATAAATGAAACAAAAAGCTGGTTCTTTGAAAAGATAAATAAAATTGATAAGCCATTAGCAAGATTAATCAAGAAAATAAGAGAGAATATCCAGATAACCTCACTAAGAAACAAAACAGGAGATAATACAACTGACGCCTAGGAAATACAAAAGACCATTTAAGGCTACTATGAACACCTTTATGCACATAGGCTAGAAAACCTAGAAGAGATGGATAAATTCCTGGAAAAATGCAACTGTCCTAACTTAAATCAGTAAGAATTAGATTCCCTGAACAGACCAATAACAAGCAGCAAGATTGAAATGGGAGTTAAAGTTACCAGCAAAAAGTAGTCCAGGACCAGATAGATTCTCAGCAGAATTCCACCAGACTTTCAAAGAAGAATTGGTACCAATCCTTTTGACATTATTCCACAAGAAAGAAGCAACCCTTCCTAATTCATTCTATGAAGCCAGCATTACCCTAATTTCAAAACCAGGAAAAGACACAACCAAAAAAAAGGACTACAGACCTGTATCCTTGATGAACATAGATGCTAAAATACTTAACAAGATACTAGCTAACCAAATCCAACAACATATCAAAAAGATCATCTTATGTTCTCACTCATAGGATGATCTTTTTGATATGTTGTTGGATTTGGTTAGCTAGTATTTTGTTAAGTATTTTAGCATCTATGTTCATCAACAATCTTGCATGTTCTTCACATGTACCCCAAAACCCAAAATGCAA